CCCACACACCCCCTTTTTAAAAGAATTCAAGACATTTTACCATTCTAGCAGCATACTAGTTTTTTTTTTCCATATTTGCATAACGATTAAAAATTTTTGCTACACTTTCTGAATGTATTTTTTAAATCAATAGCAGTTAAGTAACAAAAAAGTTATGATTAATTGATCAACTTTACGTTACGTTATCTCTTCATGTGCATTAAAAAAATTTATTAAGCAATGGTGTGGAAATTACAACCACACACGCGGCTATTCAATCAAAATCAATGAATATGAAATGCATTAAGTAAATAAATCAAAGAAATCACTTTCAAGGTGAGAGAGATTTAATTAATTTAATTAAGGTCTTTGGAAAGTTCAACGCAAAAACTACATATAGAAATAATTAGCATTTAGATTATTATTATATATTATTTTATAATTATTTAAAAAAATTAATATAAATTTTAAAAACACGGAAGAAAACTACGTTTAAAGTCTATTTCTGTGGCAACCAACACAACAATCAGTATAACGAACTCTTTGTAGCATTAGTTTAAGTTTCTCTTTAAACGATTGTTGTAACTAAATGCTAATAAAGAGATTCTTTATTACGGAGTATTTGCTTATTTGCAAAAAAGTTTTGAGTAAAATAAAAAACAAAAAAAAAAAAATTTCAAAAAAAATATAAATAGCACGTAATATAAAAAACAACACGCACTGACTATGAAAAGTCTATCTATGCACGAAATATTCTTCCTTTGTTCATAATCTTCCGTTTCCTGCGCATCGAAATTATAGAAGAATTTGTTACTTTTATACATTACACCACTTGTGGTATAAGGGTATTAGTATTATTATTATTATTATTATTATTAATTTCGCCAGAGAAATAAATTCTAAGACTAAACTCTTAAAAGCACTAGCATCTAAGGCTATCGGCTTTTTATTAAAAACTCTACCGCACTTGAGATTCGAACCCACGACCATTGACTTGCTAGTCGAGATTCCTCCCCTTCGGCTACTCAGGCGGATAAGAGTATTAGTAAGTTTGCTCAGAGTTGTGCAACACTAGCAGTGGACCCCCTCACTTATTAATGCGGTGATGAAAAGTGAAAAACAATAGTCAAGTTTAGCACTGTGATAGACATCTGTGGCAAATTTCACCTCAGAAGCATCATTAGCATTTCGTCTGGTCTTGGTATTGTACGGCACAAAAACAATGTGAATTTGTTGAGCAAAGAAGTTGTTCGGAACTTTGTCTGCGAAATAAAATTTCTTGTGGAAAAACATTTAAGATGTTGCAGGGAGCCTTCAGTCAACAAAGTTTGTCCCAAAGATTTGTTTACCAGTGTTGTAAACAGTTCAAAGAACGTCGAGAATGGATTGAAGACGAAGAGCATTCCGGTATCAACCTCTGCCGATGAAAGTCGTGTCAAAAATATCAAAGATTCCTTGCTCCAACACCGGGTATTAACATTTAAGGACTTTGCTGACGCTGTCGGCGTTGCGAACAGATCAGCCAACCACATTTTAAAAGATACTTTGGCCTGAAATCCGTCGAATTACGATTAGTACCAAAAACACTCAACATCTGCACTGTTTCTTCAAGATCATTTTTGTGAAAACTTCAACCTCTAACTTCAATTCTCTAAACTTAAAATAGGACCCCGGTTGCACCGTTTTCTCTCGATTGAAGAGATACAACATTTAAAGTCTATTCCGGGAATCGATGATCGGTTTTGAAAATTGGAGAAAATGATGGCATAAGGGGGAGATAACTTTGAAGGCGACGAAATAGATTTGGAAAGATAGATTAAATTGGTCTTCATTTTTGATTGCAGTAATATACCGATCAGAATCACTTTTCGACTCAATTTAAGCTTGCCTGTCCGCCATGCTTTCTTGTATTCAATATACAATTCGTCGCAGTTTTTGAGACATTTGAGGAAATTTGTCTGTTTTGGCCCGAGAGTGAACTCTATTGAAAATGGTTTGAAGTGGATCATTTTTCCGACAGCGTCCTAACTAAAGCCTCTTTTTGAAAAGTCTTTGCATGATTATTTGTAGGTTGACGTAGGGTGCAGGGTCGTGGATCGTTGCATACTATGGTAGTCTTATTTGCTTTTCTTTTTAATTTCTGAATTACATAAGAGCAATTTTTATGAGAAAAAGAAATTATTACAAAGTCCCATTAAATAATTATATCATTCCCAACATTATGTATAAAGTCAACATAAAATTATTTGATATGTTAACAAAAAAGAAGTAATACCCAATTACGCAGTTTATTTATAGCCCCAAAAAAAAAAAAAAAGTAAATATTCATTATTAATGTTACGATGATTCTTATTAAAATTTCTTCAGAAAAGTTTTAAAATACGAACCATAATATGCCTTACGACGTTGCATAGCTAACTTAAGGTGCAATATAAACATAATTAAAATAAAATAATTTCATAATAATGAAGCACAATATACTGTTTGACATCTTGAGTTGTTGTTGTTGTGGTTCCTTTTTTTTGAAATTTAAAAAGCATTACTCTTAATGGAAGGTCCTATATATAAATATATATCAATGACAATATTTCGAAGCTAGCACTATCACTTCACAAACATATTCACGGAAGCTTAGGCAATCAGAAAACTAAATTTCAATATTCTTCTATACTATTCTATACTTCAATCGAGACCAAGCCAAAATTTGTCGTAAACGTTTACCAGACAGTTGATAATCGATAAATAAACGTGCCAACCACGGACATAACTTGATATAGTGTCGTGGAAGTTCAAGCGTCTTTGAAAAATTCCAAATTTTAACTATGATGTGCTTTATATAACTTGATCAAAAAGTTACGATAATTTTCAAATGGCGTACGCTATACGTGGTGCCTCAGTTTTATTGTCTTTGTGCGGGTTAATTGCAGCATTGGGCAATTTGCGACCAATATGGAAATTTAGTTTGTATTTCGCAACCAGCTAAGATAGATTTACCACAATTTCCTTAGCAATTTTTTGGAAAATTACTAGAGAGTTGCTTTCAAAACTTTTCTTCAAAGTTCAAACTAAGTGCAGGCAAAAAAATCTTTAATCAACAAGAGTACTTAAATAAGCCGAGAAAATTTGAAAGGCGATGCAAAAAGGATTGGAGGTCGACGGGGAAATAAGGAAAAAGTTGAAAAAACGACTAAAGGGCCGCTAACCACAGAAAATATAAAGAAATATTTAATAACATTTTAAACGGAAGATGGGTGATAGCAAAGGTTTTATCGAAGCTGAGGAAGCTTTCAAAACTTCATAATGAAACGTTCGACTGTTTTGATGAAAAAATATTCTTGTGTGCTCCTGACATGAATTCTCTATGATTTCTCTCTAATTGGAAAAGAAAGTTTTTCAACAATGGTAGAAAAGTGAAAACACAAACCCCCGTTTAAGAGGCGAATTAAAGAAGTTTCAATTGGCGTATCTTAAACGATGAAATGCGTCGATCCAAATCCATAAACAACAAAGTCTTCGAAAGGGATAAGTGCTTGTTATAAGAATTAATAAATTTTATAAGAAAATCAAAAATTCTCGTTACTTTTTGATCGAGCCTGAAGTTGGTTTAGTTACTTTGATTACGTCGATGAACTCTTGTTTTTTTTTGGGTGTAAGTTTATAAGATTGTGCCTTTCTTTGTAAAATTAAATTAACCGTATAATCAAAACCGCACTAAAGGGAAAGGGAGGGAATACCGACGCTGCGTTACATTAACAAATAAATGCACGTTTTCCTTCTTCCATTTGCTTATTGTATACCTTATGTAAGGCAAATTCTCCCTTTTCTAGCAGAACAAAGGGTAGAAGGGTAGAAAGAACATAAAGAACTTTGGAAAGAATTATTTACTTAAAAATTCAAACGAAACTTAGTGAATTTACTGCTCTTTCGTGAACTTTAAAATTATTAAACAAACTGCAATCATTTGAGCATAAATTTTGTTTTCATTTTTACGATTTCCTTACGCAATTATTTCAATCCAATTATCTTAACATATGTTTACATGAATATGCGCGTAAAAATCATAAAGAAATTTTTTAAGTGATCTATAAAAATAAATATATAGTAAAATAAATAAGAAAATTACATTCGGTCGTGACCGGATTCTCTGCACCCATCACCGTTATCTTAAAAACGATTTTAACAAAAAAAGAAAAAAAATTACATTTTTACACTTTAAAATATTGTAACAAGCAAAAAACACAGAAAGCAAAGGTGTTAACCGTTTTTTGCTTCACGGGCTTGTGGGCATTAGGGACTTTCCCTTTGGAAGATATTTCCCTTTCCTTTCAAATTTGTAGGTGATATTGTCATTTTTGTGGAACGTTGCCCACAGATGCTACACAGTTAAGCAGACTGGCAATTGGATAGACGCACGGACGGACACGCTTAGGTGTATTTCATATTTAAAATTGCTCGACAATTTATAAACTTTAGGAGGCTTTGTAAGCTTGTTTGTGCCCGCTACAAAGGTATTGAAAAACGATTATATTTTTGTATACTATAATATTAGATAGGCGCGGTCAAGGTTTTCCATTTTCATACAAATACTACAGCAACGCCCGTAGAATATGCTTTCGAATTTTTATACATTTATCTGCTATAGCTTATGGGTAATGAACAAAAAAATCCATTTTTTTATCCCTTTTGAAAAACAGGGATATTCTCAGCTTACGTGATATTGCAGGCGTGTCCTTCCATTTAATTGGACCTTTTTTTTAATTTCAACCTGGGTACAAGAACTGGCAGTAAGTCTGCCAAATTTGAAGTCAATAAAGCAATTTTTGGTGTTTCTAACAGACATTACACTGACGGACGGACAGACATTCTTCAATCAATTTGGAATTTTGTGTTGACCACTTTATGGACTCTCTGAAGCTTCGTTTTGAGCGTTGCAAACATTTTGATAAAATGAATATACCGCCCATTCTACGGTGATGGGCATTAAAGGGAAAATTTTTATTACTAATAAAAGTGCATCTTACCTCAAAGCCATTTAAATGGATTTTATGCTTCCTCGTTAGATCTATTAAACGTTCTTGACGATTTAAAATATTATCATAGCCGAGGGTGCTGCTGCTGCTGGTGCTAATAATTTTCATTTTATCGTCTGCTGAAGTTCGCGTATTATTATCGTTTTTATTATTATGATAATAAATATAAAACCGACCCCCATAAGAGTTATTGTTAGCAAGAGCAGCATTAGCACTTGGCCCCTTGCTGGCATCGGTTTTATTAGCATTAGCATCATCAGCAGCAACGATCACAGAAAGCAAACAATTGTAATATAAACTTGCAATTAAAATCAAAATTAAGCCACTAGGTGAACACATCACGATTAATAATATGCTTATCCGCACGTTGCTGAATGATCACAAAACCAAAATAAACAAATAAGCAAAAAAAACAAAAGAAAAAAAAAACAAATAAATATTAAATAAAATAAAATAGGTATAGAAACGCTAAGAAGCGCGAACAACAATAATTGCACGTACTCAACAGCAGCAACAACATCAACATATGAAGAAAACTCTGAAATGTATTTCAAAATATTGTTTTTTGTTTTTTTTTTTTGTAAATTTCGCTGTTTTAGCATTTGATTCTTTCTCTGTCTCTGTCCGTCTGTCTATATGTCTGTCTTTGTTTGTAAACAAATCATTATGAAAATTATGAAAATCATATTAAGGCAGCGGCGTAAAAAAACTTCCAGTCAAGCATTCGGTGAAATTAACTTCATGTTGTTTTTCTTCTTCTTCTTTGCTTTTTTTATATTTATTTTTTTGTTTCTTGCTTTTTTCTTTTTATACTAAACTATTTTAATGCGTTGTAATAATTTTTTTTGGTTTATTAATAATAATTTTTTTTTATTATAATGCATCTCGAGCTGTAGACAGGTAGGCGAAGAAAAAAAACCCAACCTAAAGAAAAGTGAATGTGCTTAAGAAGGAAAAATAAATGGTAAACGATAATCGATGTTGGTACATATTTTTTGTACATTCTGGCGCTACATTTAACAGCAGTTAATTAAGTCTTAAAGTTTATGCACTAATTAATATATATATAAACATTTCGTTTTATTTATATTTTTTTTTTTTTTTATTTTCATCTTTAACTCACTACACGTTTGTTGCTTAAGTTTTTCATTTCGAGAGGTTTGTAATATTTGTGTAAATACATAAGAAGGAGAATGTATGTGTGTAAATTAAATTGAAAATTCCAAAGATTTTGTAAATTTTTTTTTGTTATATATTTTTAAATGTTTTTATTACTTAAGTTTAACTTTTTTTTTAGGAATTTTCTTATATATTATTTGATCCATATGCATTGTACTTTTGTTGATTCGAAAAAAAAATTTTCTTTTTTTTTTCATTTTATTGCTTTCTGTTTATTATTTATTTTAATTTCTATAAAAACGCCAAAAATTTGTTGTTGTTGTTTATTCTTCTTTTTTATAAAAGTCACTTTAACAAAATTTTGTTATTAAATTGAGTTTGTTACCTTGGCGTTGCCTTAGAGCTTGAGAGAGCGCTGATGGAACTAAGTTTTTCATTTTCTTTTTTTCATTCCAACACTTCAATGTGTACGGAAATTTTCCAAACCAAAAATTAGTGTAAAGGTCACGTCTGGTAATAATTAATTTACTTAATATTCGCCCTTGAAATCTGTGAAAAAGTTCTGGTCGACAAACGAACCTCCCAGGGTGAGAAAGGGACAAGCTGTTTGCGTAGAACTAGTTCTAAGGTCTTGATCATGTGCTTGAGTGCAATCTCTTTGGGCTAAGTACTGAAATAGAATAAGTGAGATGTGCCAACTAACGCTTAACTTTGCGGAGCTTGATTAGTTCACGGAAAATTTTTATATCTGCTGGAAAATTGGTTTCAAAAATTAGATCCATGTTTGGCTCATAAACTCCCACAATTCGTCGAATTGGCTCTCACCTAGCCGAGTAGGTAAGAGTCGCGACTACCAAGTCGATGCTCGCGTTGCTCGTTGGCAAAGGCATGAAAGTAGGCTGTGTCCATTCCCTCTCTCTTTTCCCTCTTTCCCCATTTCTTTCTGGCCATGTAATCAGGTCATATCAAAAAAAAAGCAAAAAAGCTGTGATAAGCACCTTTGTCAAATTTCATATCATACATTAATGTCATCAGTATTTTAGCTCTTCTTGATTTTATACGATATAAAAGCACTTCTCTTAATTTTTGCAACGGATGTGAGAAGATGATTTCTGACTATCAGTCGGGCATCAAACGTATTATTACGGGAGATGAGACTTGGATCTATGCGTACGACTCGGAAATAACCGATCAATCGAGCGAGTACCCCGCAAAAACTGAGCCAAAACGGAGAAAACCGAGCCAAAGTCGCTCAAAAATTGAAGCAATGCTAAGAGTATTCTTCGATTATCATGCACTATGAATGCCCTCTGTAAGACCATACTGCTAACAAGGAATACTACTTGAGTTTAAGGCTTACTTTCAAGGCGAAAAAAATTGATTCGGAATAATAAATAAATTTAAAACAGCAAAAGGTAAATTGGTCTTACTTTTTGGACATAGGAGTACAAATTATATTTGTATATATGCTTAAGTGGAGTAAATATAAATTTCTTTCTTATATGAGGTGTCCTGTGTGCTAGAACTTCCAATGTTTCTGCCAAATTTGAAGTCGATAGCTTAATTTTTGCGACCAGGGAAATGTTTACCGAAGACATTGGTTAGTCGTACAGACACAAAGACCGACAGACCAACAAATTTGATGCTGATCAAAAATATATATATTTTGTGGGATCTCTGATGGTTCCTTCTGAAACTTACAAATGTTTTTAGAAAGTGACGATGAGTATAAAAATCTCAGAAAATTTTAACATATATCTCTGTTCGCAAATATCTCACTCGCCTAGTAATAAGAAAGAAAACAAAATAATATATCATGCAACAAAAAATATGTATTGCATACAATAATGCTGAAATGAGGAAAGAAAATACGCATTGTATGATATAACCGAGCGAGAATTAAACTAAGGAGTATATATTTGTATTTTATGAACCTAATGTACTGACTTTATTTGGCCATCTGTCAGTTATATTGAAAGTTAAAAAACTAACCTTCGTAACTTTCTTATATCTAAGAATTTGAGATCATCCTAAGAAATGGTCTTAATGGACACACGAACTTATTAAAAGTAAAGGACTGAGACAGTCTCGAAGAGTACAAAAACTATCACATTATTATAATTAACGCACACACAAATTGGATATTTGCGTATTTTGGGATTCTTCCTAATTACAGGCGCAGTTAGACCCCGAATTACTAGGCTTTTCAACTTAACCTACAAAGAATAATTTTGACACCAAAACTGAACAACTGGCAAAATCGTTAGAAGGACAAAGAAATCCACCATTCACTATCGATTAAGAATATATGCTCTTTAGGCGATCTTTATCAAACTTAGAATAGCTCGTTATAATGGGTATAAAAAACATGTGTATATAATTTATTGTAGAATATTATTGCATTAACCTATCAACCTAACGTAACATTAATTAAGTTGTTTACTAATTTATTATTTATTTATATAAATGCGTTAGACACTCAACGACTAAGTTTTATGAAATCATGAAACAAAACTCTCTGAGACTTTGAAAAATCTTTTTCATTTTGAAAAAATCAATTATAATGAATTCCTTTCATTTCCATTGTCGAGAACAACAGGGCAGACTGAAACGTAATCGCATAGAATAGGATAAAATTTTGGATAATATCAAATTCATTTAAGATTATAATCAAAGTGAAGACGTTTCTCTTTGCACTCGTGATATTTTGTACATAACATCATATATATGATGTTTTATAATTGATAGCTGCCGTGCTAACAACTATTTATGTGAAATAATATTTTATTATGTTACATGTTAACGATAGATAAATTAGATTTATTAAAAGTTTATTAAACTTAGAATAATACAACGCAAAGCCCGCAGAGGATATAAAATGTATTTCTTTTTAATAAATGAGTTAAAGAATTAATTCATCCATGACCGTTTGTCTATCTGTCGATCGGTTGAAATGATGATTACAACCTCGAAAACTTGGCCCGAAAAATAAACAAGTATTCAGTTTTGACTTGCTGCTCACTGCTCACTCTCGTCATAGGTTCACTTAGACCGAGTAGACCTTTGAAGTTTAGCGAACTCTTTTCGAGTATGGTTTTTGCAATAATGTACTCTTGTTATAAAAGGATAGGTCGTTTTAAATTCGTCATTTTCCTTACATACTCTCCTAAATGCAAAGCTTATATGCAATAATTTTGATATCTTATCTTAGAGCTTGAAAAAGGTGTTTCCGAGCAATGCTCTTCTACAAATTTATATGTACATGTCGTTTTGCATTTATAAAGTGTTATGCTTACGCTTTCAGCCCGTCTTGTTATGCTTTATGTGCCTGTGTGCATTTGAAAAAAGCAACGAGGAAAAAGATTCACTTTATACTGAACATGAATAACGTTTTTCTTATTTCAATATTGATTTAGTTCAGTTCAATTGATTCGTTTTAAATGAAAAGGCCGGCAGACGAATAAATGCTTCTGATAATTGATCTGTCATATAAAACTTTAGTACGCACTGTAAACTGTTGTGACTCAATGATCGATGTATGTAAGCATAAAAAAAGATTACAGAAATTTTTTAATAAATTTTTTCAAACGCCGTCTAATGATTTGGTCGCTCTACTGGTAACACAGTTGGAAGCATATATTGGAGACCGCGACATCCAAAATGTCTACATGCATATATCTTTAAATATAAGCAATCGTTCAGGTGATGACTGGTGGCGGTCAGAAAAAAGTGAGGTAAGAGAAAGAGAATCACTTGTAGGTTTAGTTATGTTCGGCAGCGCTTATGTCCGCCTGACCGCTGTTAAAATTTCTGAAGGATCTTCAGCTTTCTAGTCTTCATTTTTTAAGTCGATAAAGTTATGCACGTCCCGCCACATTTTACATGTTTCGGGCATTCTTAGGAATAACTATCCTAAAACATCCACCAGTCCATCCGTCTATTTGTCCGTCTCAAATGTCCATCTGTCCCGAATGTCCTTCCGCCATAATGTCTGTCCGCCTGAATATCCGCCGACCCGACATCCATCCACCATCTTTGCAACACCCAAAGTCTGCAAGAAATGCTTGTAAAAGAAATAGTCATAGTAGAGAATAGATAAAGATAATTAAAAGAATATTTTTTAAAACTACAAATCGATAAAGTTTGTTCTCATCAGCAGAGAAAATTTGAAGCTCAGAAGAAGTACGTTTTAGGGTATTTTACAAAGCATCTTAACGTTCGCCGAGCAAAAGTTTGAAGTTTCATTGCTTCTTTTTGAAATTGTTTTGGAGTAGTTGGTGGTTGGGTATAATTACTTTACTTATGATATTTCAGGTACATCTGATATCTTTTCGATAACCAATTTTTATACCTCACATCCGTTTGGGGGAAAAAATATAATAAGTATGTGCATGTATGCAACATTAAATAGAACTTGAGAAAAAC